CCATAGTACAAGAAAACAACACAGACAAGAAGGAGCTCTACGGGGGTTGTGAAGTCCATGCGTTGGGCATTTAGATAAACTCTCCACAAATGGATACAACACGAAAAATATTACATATTCTTTGAGAACATACTTCAGAGCTAATACACACACGACAATACCAGTACAATTTAAACAAGGAAAAGTCGGTTGTATTTTGAGCTCTTTTTGAAAAACATATAAATTGTATTTTGTAGCATGGTCGATGATGGCTCCAGCCGCTGGGGCATAACCAGCCGCCACGTGACATCAGCTCATCAATCCATCATGGTCCGCTACGCTAGGCATGTGCCTCCGCTTCTCGCCGTCCACGCCCTAAGGCTGTATCAAAAGTTCACAATAAAATCAATTGTTTGCATTACCTCTTGTTTCCTAAACATGCAAAGTTCTTTGTATTAAGCAAGATAGATCAATAGCAGAAACAATTCTAACTAAAAAAGGTGTACATGGTTATTAGGCTCATGTACATAGAGAATTTATAAATTTGACAAAAAAATGGAACCACAATAAAAAGAACAGGTGCATAATGCATTTCAATTGTTACAGAAAATATATCATCAAAGAAGATGAAAGCAGAGATTATTTTTATACAATATATATAACAGGTAGTATAGAATTATCAACCATAAAATATTTGCATGTCACAACTCCCAGTTCAATCAAATTTATGTTAGAACTATAAGTGTGTTTTTGTTACACTTTATACATGTCATTATATCAAGCAACTCGCTCCTTTTGTTTGTTTTTCATAAGCACAAAGCATGAACTCTAAACCTCACCTTTTGTGAAGAGAAGGATCCATAGAGCTCTGGAGATCTATACATTCTTGCTGCAACGTAATATTATGATCAGCATCAACGACTTTTCCATCAAGGTTGCAGGCTTGTGCTCATTGCAAATTCATATTATAGCAGGCAATTTCAACACTCCATGATTAGCTTCCGAATCCATAATTTTGATAGGAAAAACCGGTAACAAAAAGCTACAAAGTTTATCCATCTCTACCTATCGCTAGGTGCGGGGATATACAGATTAGTGCAATAAATTTATACTCACTATGTATTGGTTTGTTTCTTGCATCAATTTGATAAACAAATTGGGTTGCAGCGATGCCTCAATAACAATCATTGTAAATGACACAATGGCACACACAACACTCAAATCATGTCTCACAAAATTCAGGGATATGCATACAAATAAAAGAAAAGAAACCGTAAAGAAGCAAACCTGCATTAGTGCATCATCTTGACTCCAGAAAACGACACCAAAGTAGATGGACACCCTTGAGGCTTGGGCAGAGCGAGGATCCTCCCAGGCTCAAAATTAGGGTGCATACTGACACCTCCAGGAGTGCCCCCATGCAGCCGCCACTCCATCCACTCTCGCAACTTGTCGGGACGAGGTAGTTGCGCAACCGCCGCTCTATCCCCTCTCACAAATGCTCGGGCAATCACGTCCAACGAGTTGTTGTTGCCACTCCTCTCAGCCGGCGTTCCTCGCAACCGCGGAGCCTCTCTCGATCTCGCCAGTCCATGGCGACTTGTTCCCCTCGAGAATCACCTTAAATTCATAGTACAAGAAAACAAAATAGACCAGAAGGAGCTCTAAGGGGGTTGTGAAGTCCATGCGGTGGACATTTAGATAAACTCTCCACAAATGGATGCAACACGAAAAAATTACATATTCTTTGAGAACATACTTTAGAGCTAATACACACACGACAATACCAGTAAAGTTTAAACAAGGAAAAGTCAGTTGTATTTTGAGCTCTTTTTGAAAAAAATATATTGTATTTTGAGTTGGGAAAAGTTAATAGATACTATGAACAAATTACACTCACATCGCCGTGACATGAAAATGAAAAGATAAGCACCCAAAAGCATCACTACCTTTATTTCAGATCCCCGAACCTCAGCAACTTTGATAATTTTTTCGCCATTCAAAGGATCAACTATCTAGAGTTCCAGTTAGCAGACTATCCATTTTCCCTGCACTGAACTTAACTTTGTCAATGTCTGTGGTGAAATAGCACATTTCACTTGGTGGGGAACCTGATAGTCATACATTAACCTACCAAGAAGAAGAATAATTCCATGTTTTAGCAATTCAATTTCAGGTTTTGTATTTTTTAAATAATTGCTTGGCCATTGTACAGTAATCAATGTTCCTGAAGCTGGAGGACAAACACATGAGATTGCTCTGTACTACAAAGGGGTGTCATCAAGTTATCATAGCCATAGCCTAAAAAAACAAAGCACGACTGACCAAACACATCTTGTCCATTTTGCCCAATAGGAAGTTCAGAGAATGAAGTCTGATACTGATAGTACACATCGGATGCAATGGAAAGCTCCTTCTCAAGTAAAATTATTTCTATCCACCTTCACCATAAAGATAATAATATTCCTATGTATCATGCTTAAACATCACAATCAGTAATCAGTAACCCCATGGACAGAGACAGTTATGAAGCGTGCCCATGATAAAGCTAGCAAGCAGGACCGATTTAAAAGAATGCATACAAACATATCCACAAAATGGCGGTCATCTTACCGAATTTCTGCACTTCCCCTGGGCTTGAACCAGAGATCTCCTTGGGAGACACCATAGCAAATTCCGGCGTGTGCAGCAACCTGCACATCACCTAAAACTGTGAGTAACCGAGCAGTGCAAATCAATGCCAGGCTCCCCTCGGAACCCTGACAGCTACCAGCCCAGACCGTGTCTAAAATGGCGGCCCGGGAGCAGGTGCTTCGAGCTCCTGCATAAGAAACCGGCATCAAATTTCCACGGACTGCTCCCCCCGCGATGATAAGCATTGGACGAAACCGGATCACGACCAAAAACATGGAGCGCGGGTGAGAGGTGGGTCACATGGAAGTGAACGCAGCAGGGGATCGCCGGATGGCCGCGGCCGCAGCGAGGTGCCGCCGGAAAACAAGGTGGCTCATCGGTTGGCTACATGCGCTCGATCTCCCATGGGAGCATGGGACGCGACGGGTGTGGTTCGACTTGGATGGATTGACGGAGAGAGAGAGAGAGAGAGAGAGAGAGAGAGAGAGAGGAGGCAGGCAGAGGGAGGGGCAGCAGCGAAGGAGTAGCGTCAGGGGCGGCGGAGGTGGTGAACCCTAGAAGAGAAGAGACAGGGACGATCGACAGAAGGATGGCAAATATTTTTTTTGACCACGAGGACGGTAAAGATTGAGCGAAGGAGGGGCTATTCAGCGTTCCATTTCTTTGATGGTAGGCAAAAAACAAACATGTGTTTCTTTTGGTTTTTATAAGGGGGGAAAGAAACCAGACGGAAGATTGTGGTGGAAGGTAAGACAAAAACCTGATGAAAGATGATGGTAGAAGGTGAGACGAAAAAACCCGTGAAACCGAGACTACCAAGTCCTTCATCAGAAGTAGAGATTTAGGAAGGTGATCTCGTATATATGGTAGGATTTCTGAATTGTTAATTACCTATTTTTTATGTGATTATATTGAATCAAGTAAAGATTTAGGAAGGTGATCTCATATATATGGTACGATTTTTGAATTATTAATTACTTAATTATTTATGTGATTATATTGAATCAATATCTACCAAAGCAATCACGAAAAAACGGAAAGAAGGTTCGGACAAATTGATTGGGCCGGCCCAAGTACAATGTTGTGACGTGATTTTAAAGGTGGGCGAAAGATAGAACTGGTGGGATGAGATATGAGTGAGGCGAGACTATCAACTCAGACATTAAAAATAGAGATACCTTCTTAACTAAAAAGATAATACAAAACTTCTCTATCTGTTTTAGAAAGGAAAAATAATTAATGCTTGCAAAGGTTTATATCTACTAATATTGCCTACTTTTTTTAGTTGAACATATAGTATAAACAATTCTACACAAAAACATGGGATGGTTTTGTGCAACCACTCTTGGTAACGATCAATGTCAAAAAGGAAAACGATGTACAACAGAACAAAACTAGTCATGAATTAAAGCCTGCAAAATTAGTTGAATCTTATGTGCAAGTATGAACTTTTTAGTCAAATCTGATGAACAGAACATTACTGCATAATGATACAAACACAAGAACTTGTTTATTGCTCCCTCCGTTCTTAAATATAAGTCTTTTTAAAGATTTTAATAAAAAAAATTATATAAAGAAAAATGAGTGAATCTAGATTTTAAAATATGTCTAAAAAGACTTATCTCTATTATATTATTTAAAAAAACGTAAGGTTCCATTTCATCTTTCTTTCGTCCAACCTTCCATATATACGTCTCACTCTTTTCGTATCCTCTTTGATTTTTTTCCTTCCATATTTGATTTTTCTCTCATTTATTCAATTGTCTCATGTTTAGTAACTTACCAAAATAAACATACATTTTGTTGGTAAGTCATTAAATTCTTACCAAAAAAATGCTTAACAATAAAATGGCAGAGAAATCATGGCGACTGCATACAAAGATTTGGTAAGATTTTAGCGTATCAATATAATAATATACGTGGATTCTAAAAATAATAATAATAAAAGACGTGCAGTTATTAAAATGTTTATACTCCGGTTACAACGCACGGACAATTGTCTAGTATTTCCTTCGTTCCAAAATTCTTGTCTTAGATTCATCTAGATACGGATGTACATAATACCAATATTTAGACAAATCTAAAACAAAATTTTTGGAACATATCTATTTTTTACAAAACAAAGGGAGCAGAATTCGCGAGGAAACGAAAAGGAAGTGGGGCGAAGGGGGCGGAAAGCCACACACACGTGTACGCATCTAGTCCGGGTGTGTGTGATGACCGAGTGACACACAGAACACATATATTCAGCCAGGAGGCGGAGGAGGCGGAGGAGGAAAGCTCCAAGGGCGGCCAGCCAGCCAGATACAACATACAGCACCGAGAAAGATTCTTTCCCCCTCCTCCTCCTCCTCCTCCTCCTGCCATCCGCCGCCGGCCACCCAGCAATGGCGGCCACGCCCCTCGACTCCGCCTGGGAGGTACGCGCCCGTCGTTCCGATCTCTGTCTCCCCTCCCCGCTATACGTGCCGATCTTGACGGATCTTTCGTCTCCCTCTCCGCCGCCGTCTCCGGCCTTGCTGTCGGGATCAACGAATGCAGTGGCTGATCACCAACTTCAGCGAGTTCCAGCTGGCCACCGTCGTCACCTTCGTCCTCCACGAGAGCGTCTTCTTCCTCTCCGGCTTCCCCTCCCTCCTCTTCGAGCGCCTCGGACTCTTCGCCAAGTACAAGATCCAGGTCTGCTCCTACCCATCTCGCACGCCTCTTGGTTGATTGATTGATTTGATCCATCCATCAGATAGACGTGCCTAGGCCCATCTTGCACGTCCAATGTGTGGGTGTGTATACCTTCGAAATTTCGCGACACGAGATAGCATGGTGGGAGAACAGTCATGGAAGATAACGAATCCTGTTTGCAACCTATGATTGGACGTTTTTTCTTTTTGTTCTTTTGTAAAAATTTCTCTATCATGACAAGCAAGACTGACGAGTAAGACCGCCGAACCAGAAAGGGATGCGTCTGATTTCTTTATATTGCGTCGTACTGATATGGACCAAGCACGAGTAGGCAACACTCATTTTCGTTTGGCTCTCTTCCCTACTGTTTAAGAAACTATTACGCCTCGCGTCCAAATCAAACTGCCTGCTGAGAGAAGGAAAATAAGGATGAGAAACACTGGTGACATGGCTCAGTTAAACATGCATCGGAAGACTTATGGATTTTCACTAATACTCGAACCTTCTATTACTTGATCAAGCTATAACAAATTCCTGCCCCGAGGTTATGATTTCAAAATATAGAAATAAAAGTTCCAAGCTGAAAAAATCCTTGGGACTTTGGAATGCTTTAATTCTAAGCACTCTGGGAATCAATCTCTGCATATTTATCAGGACAAACAAATGCCTAAGTAGTGAGATACAAGATGCAGGTCTGCTCTTAACTATGTCACGTGCCTTGATTGATCCTTCCACTAGATAGACATATATAGTTCCATCTTCCATGTGAAATGCATGTGTACCACACATGGTGGGAGAACTGTTAAATGAGATAACACGGGAATAGACAGGGAAGGTAACCAAACCTTCTTCTAAGCTATTAATGGATGTTTTTCTCTTACATAACTTTCTCTATATGGCAAGGAAGACAGCCCAAGCAAGGAAGAAATGTATCGGATTTATTCCGATATATGATACTATATGGACCAAACAACACTAGGCATCAGCTGTTTTCATTTCACGTTCTTTGCTCCTATTTAAGAAACTATTTCTGACTTTTGATGCTAGAGATTCAAAGTAAAAACTTACACCTCACACCCAAATAAAAATTTCTTCCGAGGAGAAGGAAAATAAGGACGGGATACATTTGGTCACTAGGCGTGTGTCTGTGGTCATCGAAAAGTTATTTCAATTGTATGGTGCTGAGGTGAACCAAACAACACTAGGCACCGTCTGTTTTCATTTCATGTTCTGCGCTCCTATTTAAGAAACTTATTTTTTAGTTTTTCTTTTAGAGATTCAAATTCAGACATGTTGTGTGATACTGATATGAACCATACAAGAGTAAGAAACACTCATTTTCGGTTAGTTTCTTCGCTCCTGTTTAAGAAGCTATTTCTGTCCTCTGCTGTTAGAGATTTATAAAGTGATATATTACATCCTGTGTCCAAATTAAACTGCCAGCTGAGACAAAGATAATGGGGATGACAAATACTTGGTCAGCAGTGGCGGAGCCAGGTTTGAAGTTTGTATGCGACTTCATTTGACATTCCAAATAGATTTAGATGACCAAAAGCTGTGTGTACAACTACCAAACATAAAATGCAATAAAACATGAAGTCATAAAAGTTGCTGGCATTGGCACCCGGCGACAGAAGATCCTACTTGCAACATGTAACCATTTATGTATGCATTTAGATATCAGTTGGGTGCGTCCACCCTGTTGCCTCTTGTACTATTGTTATAGTCGTGATTCTAGTCTAGCTCCTCTGTCAATCACTGTTGTTTGTCCCTCTTGTTCCATCTTGGGGTGCTGGTGAGTTCAGTATGTGGCGGCGTGGTGGCTGTGGCATGCATCGTGCGTGTGGTGCGGGTCGAGATTCGGGCTGGCCAAAGACTTAGCAAGAACAGGAGATTGCAGCTTTTGGTTTGGCATACCGAGTAGACACAAGTGTAAATGAAGTTGGTGGTGGACATTTTTGTGGACACAGAACGTATTGGCCCAGGCCTACTGATGAATCAAGGAGGCGTCCCCTCCTTCCTTACATGGATCACATACGCCACTTCACCTTCATACCTGCAGATCAAAGCTTACATTCGGTGTTCCCATGGTGTCATAGCTAAGGGTATGAGCAGGTGTGCTTCCTTAGTTAGCAATCTGGAGACCTAGGATGGATACCCCTGCTTGCCCCTACGGTGGCACTGCCCATGGGTCACAGGGCTCAGCTAAACTTTTGTGTCTCTGGACATATTTTTTTTCACCGCAGATGTAGGAGCGCTGCTTGAATATTGCATATTTTTACCATAATATAACTTCCTGCCCGAGGTTATATTTTAACATACAGAAATAGAAGTTCCAAGCTAACAAATCTTTGGAATATGACTGCTTTAATGCTAAGCCGTTCCGGAGTCAAATGCTGCATCTTCGTAACGCTCCCAGATTGGCTACCGGGTATAAGGCTGCTACGCCTGGCTACCAATTGGGATCTATACTGGTCCCACAGACCAGCAGTGCGCGTCAGATTCATGCCAAACCTTAGTGGTAGGGCCTCTGCTGTGAAGGCATCATAACGTATCTCAATTTTCTCATTAGCTGCTGCCATAAATTTTCCATGATGCCTCAAAACTGCCCCAACTGCGCCTTGTAGCAAGTCCGCATCAAATGCTGCATCCACATTGAGTTTTACATAATCTTTCCTCGGTTTCATCCAGCCCCCAGTTCTAACTTTACTCTTCGTGAGCAAGCTAGACCAAAATTTGCAGCAAGGACTTTCACAGATAAACAAACCTGAGCAGCAGATAGACATTGTTCACCGTGGAGGAAGTTCCTGCGTTCCCACCATAAGTACCAAGTTTTGGCTTGACCTGCCTCATCACACAAACCTCTTCATTCAGGATGCACCGCAAGTACTCTAGTATAGCTTCACCAGCTCGGTCCACATGCCAAGATCTCCTAATGACTTCATCAAGACCTAACAAGGTCCATACTTCCATGGCCACAGAACGATCAAATAGGAGATGTTTTTTAGTATCAGCATCGCCCTTGCAAATTGGACACTGAGCCTGCACTTTTATATGTCTGCCCATAAGAATCGCTCGACAAGGGATGGCACCGAGAAGGGCCCTCCATACAAAGATCTTTACCTTTGAAGGACAGCGAAGTGTCCAAACTGTTCCCCACGTACAACTTGAATCTGAAGCACCCACATTAGCATTTGACAACTTATGTCCAAACTGATATTCCCACTCTGCATGGTACGCTCATCGGACAAAAAACATTCCCTTTTGTTGAGATTCCAAGCCAAGAAAGCATCCATTTCATATGTTGGGAGAGGGATCGCCAAAATCCTTTGAGCATCTTACCTTCTACTCATCAAAATATAAGGTAAATCACGAGCAGTATTTGATAAACATTTATTTACACAATCGCATTATGGGCAGGTAAGTCTAGAATATTTATATCCCGTTGCAACGCACGGTCATTGTCCTAGTCATTTAAAAACATATATGCTTGCGTGATTACGCTAGAGCTATATTAAGGTGCTAGGTATCTCTACTATTAAAAGGGAGTTTCTTCGTTTTGCTCTCGTCGCTTCCACCCCTCCCATTGATACATGGCCCCTCCCACCGATTTGTTTTTTTCAAACCACGTGATAACCCCCCTTTTTTCCAAACCGACCCGCGCCTCCTTGTTTCTGGTAAGGAATAGCTTGCAAAGCAATCAACATTTTTTTCTTTCAAAACCACGTGATAACCCCCATTAATTTATTTCCAATTCGACCCCCACCTCCTTGTTTTTGCGAAAGAAATCCTTGCAAAGCAATTAATGGATTTTTTTCCAAACTACACGATAACCCCCATTAATTTATTTCCGAACCAACCCCACGTCCTCGTTTCTGGGAAAAGAGATCCCTTGCAAAGCAATCAACATAATTCAAATAAATTGCCAATAGCAAGAAATCCCCTGCAAGCAAACAACAAAATCAATTCATGTAGTTATATGTACACAATCTCAATCACATCATATCTTTCTTTACCTTTGCATATGGACTCCCTCCCCACATCATATCTCAATCTCAACCCAATAAAAAATTTCCTATGTTGAACCACTAGAATAAAGTTGCCCCCGTTGCAACACACGGGTATTTAGCTAGTCATACTAATTGCATTATTGGTAATAGGAAACTGACACTGCATTTTGAATATAATAGCTCTTCTGCAAATTTAGACAATCCTTACTGTTTCTTTTTTGTGCTAGCCAAACTGAAGGACATACTGTCTGACCAGTTTTACAACAGAATCTCCTCGCTAAGAACATTAGTTTTGTATAATATTCTGAATGGAGATATGTGGTGTTGTGTTCTGTATAACACAGTCTACATTTCGATTGGACTAAATTTACCCCAATAAACTAAATTGAACTTCATTGAGGGAAACTCGGCCTCCGTTTGCTTGTTTCGAGCTGTAAGAAAATGTTTGTAGTCGGTGCCTTGTTCTCTTCTCTTAAAAATGTAAAGAGTTTTCTGTAAGAGAGTCTGTTATACTTTTGTTTGGTTTTAGTAATGGAAGTAACTTATCATCCTGGCTCTTAAGAAGCATGCATGTGACTGGGCTTGTAGTGCATGTTACTGATTTTGTTCCCAGTTTACTTTCCTCAGAACAGTTTCTGCTTTCCAGTGTGCGCTAGTATACTTTCCTCAGAGAAATCTATCTTGTAGTGCATGTTGGGCTAAATCTTTTATGTCCGCATCAAATTTACTTTCCTCGGAGAAATCTATCTTGTAGTGCATGTTACTGATTTTGTTCCCAGTTTCTACTTTCCAGTGTGTGCTAGTTTAATTCACTCCTTTTTATTTTCCTGTGATGAAATATTTGATTCATTGGAGCTATTTAATTCAGTGAACATTTGTACGTATTTTCCTTACGTAACTGGTTTCCTAAACAAGTGTGTGTGTGCATGTTTGCAGAAGAAGAGCAACACTTCTGCTTACCAGAACAGATGCGTCATGCGTCTCATTCTCTACCATGTCTGTGTGAATTTGCCAGTCATGATTTTCTCCTATCCTGCCTTTAAGTTCATGGGGCTGAGGAGCTCTCTTCCTCTGCCACACTGGTATTAAATTTTATTTCCTTCTTAAGTCCAACAAAAGTATAATTTGAGAATGCACACATGAAAGCAGCAGGATAACTAAAGACTCAAGTGGAACAGGAAATTGCTTAACTTGCTAATGCTACCTGATGCAGGACGGTCATTGTATCTCAAGTTCTTTTTTATTTTATACTCGAAGATTTCATATTCTATTGGGGGCACAGGGCTCTGCATACCAAATGGCTATACAAGCATGTCCACAGTGTGCACCATGAGTAAGTGATATTTCTTCATTAACCCGTATTTGATTTTACTACATTAGTTTGTTACCATTCTAACTTTTAAGACGATAAAATGTGAGCAGATATGCTACACCATTCGGCTTAACTTCGGAATATGCACACCCTGCTGAAATTTTGTTCCTGGGATTTGCCACGGTTGTTGGTCCTGCCCTCACTGGCCCTCACTTGTTTACCCTTTGGCTGTGGATGGTTTTGAGGGTGTTAGAGACGGTTGAAGCTCACAGTGGATATCACTTCCCTTGGAGCCCATCAAACTTCCTGCCACTGTATGGAGGGTAAGTAAACTAGAATTTGCAAATGTGGTACCTGATGGTAGGGAAGTTCTATTTTCTCATTTGATAGGTTGCGTTTAACTGAGTTGTGAATATTTTCTCATGAGCAGCTCTGACTTCCATGACTATCATCATCGTGTGCTCTACACCAAGTCAGGGAACTACGCCTCTACTTTTGTTTACATGGACTGGTGAGTATACATGTTTGCCTTTGCTGTGTTGAATATGCGTGGTAAGCTCCCTCCCTTTTACATGACATGCATCCTCTTAATCTTGTTGTTGCGTTAGGTTGTTTGGCACAGACAAGGGCTATCGCAAGACAAAAGCCATCGAAGGGGAAGAAGGGAAGCATTTGTAAATTGTGGAGGCTACTCTCTCTTTTCTCTGAGTCAACTCATCAGAACTAGTTTTTGATCTCTTGTGTTGGTGATAACATTGTGTTCATGGGAGGAGATACATGCGGCATTGATCCTAGGCATGGGCCGTCCATCCTACATGTCGTTGAGTCTCTGTTCTCCCATATTTGCTAGCATGATGAGATCATGTGTTGTGTAGGCCAACTTATATAATTTGTGGTGAATTAAATTTGTTGTGCTCTGTTGGGGTTTATGCCCATGGCAGAAGTAACTATTTGAAGCAGCAATAACTTGTCAGATTAGTTGTTTTGCAAGTCGAGTAAATAACTGAGATGAGATTTGTCTGTGCTTTATTTGTTTTTGCCTCAGTTTCCCTTGCAAACTCATGGGGAGCATGGTGCAAGTGATTACTGGCAATCTGAATCATCTTAATAATCAAGCAAAACTTAGCTTCTAGCCATGAATGCGGCTCCTCACGGTTACATGTGTATTGTCATAGCTTGGCTGCTATTGTGCGTCCGCCATCGACGCATATGACCTGGCCCGTCATGTACCCGGCGCCGGGCATGCAGAGGAAGGCGACGACCGCGGCGACTTCGTGGGGCTTGCCGAAGCGGCGCATGGGCACCCGCGCCGTCTCCATGTCGGCGAGCCTCCGCGCCATGGTTGGGTCGGTGGCGAGCGTGGTGGTGGAGATATCGGTGTCGATGCCGCCCGGCGCGACGCAGTTGACGCGGATGCCGTGCGTCGCCCACTCGGCGGCCAGGCTCCTGGCGAGCTGGTGCATGGCCCCCTTGGTGAGCGAGTAAACCGAGAGCGCCGGGTAGGCGATGTAGCCGGTGACGGAGGAGATGAGCAGCACGGAGGAGGCCCCGGCTTGGCGGAGCAGCGGGTGCGCGAGCTGGGAGAGGTGGAAGCAGGGGTCGAGGTTGGTGGCCATGATGCGGGCGTAGTCCTCCGGCGTGGTGTCCGCGGCCGCCTTGTAGAGGGATTGGCCGGCGTTGTTGACGAGGATGTGGAGCTTGCCGTGGAAGAGGTCGCGGACCGTGGCGACGAGGGCCTCCCTGTCGCCGCGCACGGAGACGTCGCAGACGGAGGCGGTGACCAGCTGGTGGAGGCCCTTGCTCTGCCATCGCCGCCGGCATTTGTCCAGGCCGGCGGCGTTGCGTGCGCAGGTGTGCACCTTGGCGCCCAGCCCGGCCAGCTCCTCCACGATGGCAAGCCTACGGACGTACAAAATGAATCGAGCGGTTGATCAATGCGTGCACCACCAACTAACTAATCGAGTGCGCAAAGCCACGAAATGAAGCATAACTGAACATACCCGATCCCCTTGGTTCCTCCGGTGACGAGCGCCGTCATGCCGGCGAGGTTCCACCGGTGACTCATCGTCTCCTGTGAAGAATCCGATGTGACACCTGCCATCGGTCGGTAAATATATCAGCTATAGCGACTGATCGACCCTGCATCAGTAGCCAGTTATATATGTTTGTGTGATGGATCGATCGGCCCAATGACCCTGCATCCCATCCATCTTGTTGCACATCATGCTTAGTTGCCACACTTGGTATTGGAGTCCCCTCCAAGTTCGTCACTGCCAAGGAAGATAGATATTTTCGATGCATATGCTCCCAGCCTCCTGCTCGGCTGCTTTTTGCTCACTGCTTTCGGCAAATCTATCTATCTACCCCTCTACCCTTATATAATAATATAATAAAGCCAATAATGCTTCGTCCGTCATGAAAATTGACTCCGAAGTTGTCCATAATTACCCACCACACCACCCATAAGTTAGAAAAAAACAAATCGTCTTTTCTTTTACACCCGACCGCAGCTTTTTCAATAACTTTAAATCCCACCATATAGCACAAAGATTCACACAGCCAAGTGGATAGAGCATCCTCCTTCAGTCTAGAAGACCTAGGTTTGAGTCGTCCTTCTCCCCTTTTTCCTAATCCCGCATATCTAAAAGTTTTTTTAATATTAATATCTCTACAACAACAACAAAGCCTTTAGTCCCAAACAAGTTGGAGTAGGCTAGAGGTGAAACCCATAAGATCTCGCAACTAACTCATGGCTCTGGCACATGGATAGCAAGCTTTCACGCATCCCTGTCCATAGCTAGCTCTTTGGTGATACTCCAATCCTTCAGGTCTCTCTTAACGGACTCCTCCCATGTTAAATTCGGTCTACCCCGCCCTCTCTTGACATTCTCCGCACGCTTTAGCCGTCCACTATGCACCGGAGCTTCTGGAGGCCTGCGCTGAATACGCCCAAACCATCTCAGACGATGTTGGACAAGCTTCTCTTCAATTGGTGCTATCCCAACTCTATCTCATATATCATCATTCCGGACTCGATCCTTCCTCGTGTGGCTACACATCCATCTCAACATACGCATCTCCGCCACACCTAACTATTGAACATGTCGCCTTTTAGTCGGCCAACACTCAGTGCCATACAACATTGCGGGTCGAACCGCCGTCTTGTAGAACTTGCCTTTTAGCTTTTGTGGCACTCTCTTGTCACAGAGAATGCCAGAAGCTTGGCGACACTTCATCCATCCGGCTTTGATTCGATGGTTCACATCTTCATCAATACCCCCATCCTCCTGCAGCATTGACCCCAAATACCGAAAGGTGTCCTTCTGAGGTACCACCTGGCCATCAAGGCTAACCTCCTCCTCATACCTAGTAGTACTGAAACCGCACATCATGTACTCGGTTTTAGTTCTACTAAGCCTAAACCCTTTCGATTCCAAGGTTTGTCTCCATAACTCTAACTTCCTATTTACCCCCGTCCGACTATCGTCAACTAGCACCACATCATCCGCAAAGAGCATACACCATGGGATATCTTCTTGTATATCCCTTGTGACCTCATCCATCACCAATGCAAAAAGATAAGGGCTCAAAGCTGACCCCTGATGCAGTCCTATCTTAATCGGAAAGTCATCAGTGTCGACATCACTTGTTCGAACACTTGTCACAACATTATCGTACATGTCCTTGATGAGGGTAATGTACTTTGCTGGGACTTTGTGTTTCTCCAAGGCCCACCACATGACATTCTGCGGTATCTTATCATAGGCCTTCTCCAAGTCAATGAACACCATATGCAAGTCCTTCTTTTGCTCCATATATCTCTCCATAAGTTGTCGTACCAAGAAAATGGCTTCCATGGTCGACCTCCCAGGCATGAAACCAAACTGATTTTTGGTCACGCTTGTCATTCTTCTTAAGCGGTGCTCAATGACTCTCTCCCATAGCTTCATTGTATGGCTCATCAGCTTAATTCCACGGTAATTAGTACAACTCTGAACATCCCCCTTGTTCTTGAAGATTCGTACTAATATACTCCATCTCCATTCTTCTGGCATCTTGTTTGCCCGAAAAATGAGGTTGAAAAGCTTGGTTAGCCATACTATCGCTATGTCCCCGAGACCTTTCCACACCTCAATGGGGATACAATCAGGGCCCATCGCCTTGCCTCCTTTCATCCTTTTTAAAGCCTCCTTGACCTCAGACTCCTGGATTCGCCGCACAAAACGCATGCTGGTCTCATCAAAGGAGTCATCCAGTTCAATGGTAGAACTCTCATTCTCCCCATTGAACAGCTTGTCGAAGTACTCCCGCCATCTATGCTTAATCTCCTCGCCCTTCACCAAGAGTTGGCCTGCTCCGTCCTTGATGCATTTGACTTGGCCAATATCCCTCGTCTTCCTCTCTCGGATCTTGGCCATCTTATAGATGTCCCTTTCACCTTCCTTCGTGCCTAACCGTTGGTAGAGGTCCTCATATGCCCGACCCCTTGCTTCACCAACAGCTCGCTTTGCGGCCTCCTTCGCCATCTTGTACTTCTCTATGTTGTCTGCACTCCTATCCAGGTATAGGCGTTTGAAGCAATCTTTCTTCTCTTTAATCGCCTTCTGGATATCATCATTCCACCACCAGGTATCCTTATCTTCGCTTCTCCTTCCCATGGACACTCCAAGCTCCTCTGAGGCCACCTTACGAATGCAAGTCGCCATCTTCGTCCACACATTGTTCGCATCTCCTCCTTCCTCCCAAGGGCCCTCCTTAATGACCCTCTCCTTGAACGCTAGAGCTACCTCCCCCTTGAGCTTCCACCACTTCGTTCTAGCGACTTTGGCACGCTTATCCCGCTGGACACGAATCCGAAAGCGGAAGTCAGCAACCACCAGCTTATGCTAGGGTACAACACTATCTCCAGGTATCACCTTACAGTCTAGGCACGCATGCCTATCTTCTCTTCTCGAGAGGATGAAATCAATCTGGCTAGAGTGTTGGCCACTACTAAAAGTCACTATATGTGATTCTCTCTTTCTAAAGAGGGTGTTAGCTACAATCATGTTGTAGGCTAGAGCAAAGCTTAAGACATCTTCTCCTTCTTGATTCCTGATGCCATAGCCAAAGCCCCCGTGCGCCCCTTCAAAACCTGTGTTAGATGTAACCACGTGGCCATTGAGGTCTCCTCCTATGAAGAGCTTCTCACCAATCGATACACTCCTAACCATGTCTTCCAGGCCTTCCTAGAACTCCCTCTTGGTGTTCTTATTGTGGCCTACTTGCGGGGCATACGCGCTGATAACATTAAGAACCAAGTCCTCAACTACCAGCTTGACCAGGATAATCCGATACCCACGTCTCTTGACGTCTACCACTCCATACTTGAGGCTCTTGTTGATCAAGATGCCTACGCCATTTCTGTTTGCAACCGTCCCTGTGTACACAGCTTGAAGCCGGTATCCTCCACCTTCTTCGCCTTCTGTCCTCTCCATTTGGTTTCTTGGACGCTAATATTAATATATCTAAATCTAACATTTTATATATGAAAATCCCTCAGAAAAATGTGTACATTTCAAAAATGCTATTATCTTGTATGTTAATCTTTTCTAAATTATGTTTAGCATGCAACTTTAATCAATACCTTCTTTACATGTGGTATTTTAAAAATGCCAATTGTATATGTTTTACCCCATCTAAACTGAGTAGATATGATAGTTTATTCTTTTCACAAAAACTATACATAAGCATCATCTCTATTTCACACAATGCATAATAAAAAACCCATATACGATGATGTACACGAAACTGTTGGTACAAGCTTTATTTAAACCAGTGGCTTAACATTGATTTTCATATTGTTTGAGATTTATATGAAGATGTTGATATGCAACCTTGAATATTTGGCATGCATGTTTGATTGTTTTTGGTGAAGCTATGTAATATGTTTGCAACCAAATTAAGTCTTCACTTGATTACAGTTATAAACACAAGTATCAACAAGACAAAAATAATGCTTTTATGCACATGCTATCATTGAGTACTAACACATATTTTGTTATTTTCATCCTAATGCAATATTTTTTGGGCATCACTGAGGAGTAACAACAATAGAGGCATAAAGAGATAGCGGCAACTAGGTAGATGTTTCTGTTATCTAATGGATTAGAAACACCTTGAGTATATGAGTGTTTTTGTTCCGGGAAGAATGATCACAGATAAATATTTTAGTGGCATATGAGTGTTTCCACACAATAAAAAAGAAAAGGGCGGGTAAAGAAGGCTTGAGTGCCATTAAATTGGATATGCATAAAGCTTATGACCGAGTGGAATGGTCTTTTTAAAAGAAATTTTGTTGAGACCGGGGTTCAAGGAGAATTGGGTGAACTTAATTATGCAATGCGTATCCTCTATGGAGTATATGGTTCATTTTAATACCGATGAGACTGACAGTTTTAAGCCTACTAGAGGACTAAGATAGGGGAGCCGTCTCTCCCTGAAAGTGCTAGTTATCGACTAGAGGGGGGGAGGGGGGTGAATAAGCAATTTTTATGAAAGTCTTCAAAACACGAGGTCTTTGAGGACAAACAGTAGAAATGAACCTATTGATATGCAGCGGAAGATAGACTACACTAGACAAGCCAGAGTCAAGTAAGCAATGTAGTGAAAGCACGAAGACTATCAGCAGCTAGGTAGTATGGATCAGGATGAAAGACAATATGAAGCCAAACAGTAAATAGTCTTCACTAAGTGAAGTCAAATAGATCAGACAAGCAAGCAATGACTTCACGAAGACAAACTGTAAAGTAAAGGGAAGTGGAGGATAGAACCCGTTGCTTGGTGAAGACAAGGATTTGGTAGACCAGTTCTAGTTGCTGTGACTACTGTACATCTGGTTAGGGAGGCTAAAATTTAACCCAGAAGACCGGGTCTTCACCTTATCCCCCTTGAGGTAAGGACACCCAGTCCTCACCCAATCACTCTGGTAAGTCTTCAAGGTAGACTTCAAAACCTTCACAGACTTCGTTCACCGGCGATCCACAATGACTCTTGGATGCTCAGAACGCGACGCCTAACCGTCTGGAGGATTCACAGTCCTCAAGTGTAACAAGTCTTCAG